CCTAATAGCTCCCTGAGCTAAGCTCTTTTTCTCAAAGCCTCCGTGCTCTAAATTTTCTGTGAGGTAAAACAATAGAAAATAAAGTTTGTTGAAAAGTATGTGTGCAACAACAACAAAAAATTATTAGAATTTGAGAAAGTCAGTGGCCGTTGTGTTGGCACCATGTGAAGGTCACGGAGGTACTAAGAGACTCAGGGTTAATTTCTGGTTTCTCTGCACTTGGGTTTGGGGATTACTGAAGTCATGCTTCTACCTAAGTGAAGTAGTTATGTATGTTTTCTAGAGAAAATTAACCTTGGTACAATTTGGGTGAATGTACTGTTGAATGTACAAATCATTCTTAAATCAAGTAAAAATGTGGTGCAGTGGTAAAGAATCTGCCTGCCAAGCAGCCAGGCAGGAGACCAGGGTTCGATTCCTGGTTTGGGAAGATACCCTGGAATAGGATATGGCAACCTGCTCCAGTATTCTTGCCTGTAAGTTCCCATGGACAGAGGAGCCTGGCAGGCAACAGTCCTTGGGGTAACAAAGAGTTGGACACAACTAAATTAGCAAGCACACACACACACAAACAATAAAACACTTTTAAGCACAAACCCCTAATTTGTGTTTATTTATAAATTCTACATACTTCTGTACTAATACATATATAAGCTTTAAAACATACTTGAGAATTGAAATTGCAAATGATGACATAAAGGCAAATATGAATTCTCATTCTACTGTTTCCTCCTCACATTCCAGAGAATTGTCTTGTGTACCCCTCGAGAAGCACTATTGCACACCCAGTTGCAGACCTTTGGCTAAGGTAGCTATGTAAAAACATTGACTTTGCTAGGCAGATAGGCCTCTAGCCAGCTGAAAAGTAATTTAAGTGCTTTTCAAGACATTAAATATTTTAAAAAAAATTTCCAAAACCTAACTTGTTGCCTAGAGTATAATAGTTGCACAAGAAATGTCTGACTGTTGACTGGGCGATGAAGCTCAGGTAGTCCATTAGAATGCTTTATAAACTCTTTTAATTAGTTCATTTCATTCACTTAGCTCATGTCAGATATCTTTTACAATGTCTTTACATATCATCACATCATCGTGAATGTGTACATCACCAGGCAGGAATGGTTGTAAAGCACCATTGGAATGCACAATTGTTGTAAGGCACGTTGGGATTTCAGTGGCTTTGAGTCAGGGCTAGGGTAGAAGTTTCAGTAGAAGGCCAGTCCCCAGGGAACCGGGATGTATCAGGATGACTATAGTGTGCATGCATGTGTGCTAAGTTGCTTCAGCCATGACTGACACTGTGTGACCTTCTGGACTGTAGCCCACCAGGCTCTTCTGTCCATGGGACTCCCCAGACAAGAATACTGGAGTGAATTGCCATGCCCTCCTCCAGGGGATCTTCCCATCCCAAGGGTCGAACCCATGTCTCTTAAATCTCCTGCATTGGCTGGCAGGTTCTTTACCACTAGCACCACCTGGGAAGCCCATGACTATAGTATGAGACATGATAAAATCTGTTTAATAAAGACATTATGTGATACTCCCTGAGGCATTTGGGCTGGTAGAGGGACACAGGCAGTAATAGTACTAAATGATGATTCTCAAAGCTCATCAGGTAACAGTCTTGTGGCATTGGGAAGGGGGTGAGGAGTGGGAGAGGGGCTAGTAAGGACCCATTTGGATTGACTTTCAGGGCTTAGCTGTGTTTTAGGCCTTCTGTTCTTACACAGCACGTTTACCTTGGGTGCTTACAACCTTCTTGCTGGTAAAGTACCATCTGTGTGCTTGTATTCCAGACACCTATCCAGCAGCCTCCTGCATGGTTCCAATTAGCCATTTCACAGGTTTCTCAGACACTACATCATCTACATGACTAATTTAGCAGCTTTTCCTCCAAACATGCTTCTCCCAAATGTTTCCATCTCTGTAGGTAATATTGCCCCCCATCCACCAAGATGCAGAAAACTGCAAGTTACTCTTGATTCCTTTAGTTTCTGTATCCTTTATCTCAGCCTTTTTGGGCTCCATTCCTACTGCTATCATCATCCTTCATATCTAACTTGGACTTCTGAGCCACAATCTCGGTGCCTGCAAATCATTTTACTTATTATTCCAGAGTGGCTTTTATACAAGAAATTTGGAAAGTATGTCCTCCTTTTTCAAAGTTGATTAAGACCTCTGTTCTTCTCTTCAGCTCCATCCCCCATTTCTCTCCCTTGTATTGGGTTATCCTCTTCCATTGAACTTCTTTCGGGTTTTCAGTAATGCTAGGCTGTCCTCAGACCTCTGCACTTCCATACATACTGCCTGGAGCAATCGTTTCTCTTGTTGGTTTCTTCTGGTAGCAGCAGAGACATACCTTTTCCAGAAATGTTTTCCTGATCCTAGACTAGATTGTATTTCCCTGCAAAGAAGTACTACCATGATATTCCAGATGGTCCCAATCAGCAGCCATTGTTAAGTGGTTGTATATCCATATTTCCTTCTAGACTGTGAACTTCATTGAAGGCAGTGGCCACATTGCTTATCTTCACCCATGACAGTGTCCCCCCCCGCCCCAGACATATTACTGAATAAATGAATGAGAGGATAAGGGCACTGCAGTGCTCATTGGAACTAAGCTAAGTAGTGAGACAGATGTCTGAACAAATAGAGCGAGGGACTGGGTAAATGGACAGTCTGATGAACACTGAGGAGTCCACACTCAGTTCCTGGATGTCAAACACAAGGTTTATGGAGGGAGACCTGAGTTTACCTAAAGAAACAAGATAGACTTTCAGTTAGACAGACTTGAACTGTAAGTTCTAACAGTGTAAGCCTGGCAAGGTACTGAAAAGGCTGATGTAAGTCTTTGGGATAGTTTGTGTATAGACTATACATGTATACCAGGCATGGTTACCTGTTATTTTGATGTGGCTCTTGTGACATAGTCATTATGCCAAGTTCAACATTACTCGTTAAAATGCTTCTGCTGAATAATAATAATAGTACTTTGAGTATTTTCCTCATATCTGATAATCTCTGAAAATTATTTTATTTAGTCCTTATGGGACCTGTGATGAGGTACTTTTTTTTCTTTTCATTTATTTTTATTAGTTGGAGGCTAATTACTTTACAATATTGTAGTGGTTTTTGCTATACATTGACATGAATCAGCCATGGATTTACACGTGTTCCCCATCTCGATCCCCCCTCCCTCCCCATCCCATCCCTCTGGGTCTTCCCATTGCACCAGCCCTGAGCACTTGTCTCATGCATCCAACCTGGGCTGGTGATCTGTTTCACCTTTGATAGTATATTTGTTTCAATGCTGTTCTCTCAGAACATCCCACCCTCATCTTCTCCCACAGAATCCAAAAGTCTGTTCTGTACATCTGTGTCTCTTTTTCTGTTTTGCATATAGGGTTGTCGTTACCATCTGTTTAAATTCCATATATATGTGATACTATATTGTATTGGTCTTTATCTTTCTGGCTTACTTCACTCTGTATAATGGGCTCCAGTTTCATCCATCTCATTAGAACTGATTCAAATGAATTCTTTTTTTGGCTGAGTAATATTCCATGGTGTATATGTACCATAGTGAAGAGGTACTCTTATCATTCTCATTTATAAGGCAACCAAGGCATAGAGAGGTTGACTGACTTACTCAAAGTCTTACTGAGCAAGATACAGTATTTGACTGTTTTGGTGATTCTACCACACAGACTCTCCTTTGTTCCTAATATTTTTATTTGAATTTCTTTCCCATTAAAGAGTAACGTGTTTAAATTTAATTCAAGGAGTTTTTATTGAAACACCTACAGTGTGTGCAACATTAAATACTGTGTGAAATTAAATTAACAAATATTTATCACTATGATTTTCTAGAAGAGTGCTATAATTTCTTAAGTATTCATGGAGTTTAACACCTTAATGAGGGTATTTTTTAAAAGTCAGAGAAATATATAAAATAGGGATAGAATAGAATTTAGATGCAAAGTTTCCTCAGTGTTTGCTTTCTAATAGTAATGCAGTTGCCCTCAGAATTGATCTGTTTTCATCAAGTGGATTTCAAGCAGTCCAGGCCCCCAGACAAATTTTCAGAGAGTTAAGGCACTTTTACATACAGCATTCTTGAAATCTCTAAACTTAAAAAAGAAAAAGCATTTATTAGTCATAGGTTATTGGGCAGAATGTCATCCGCCTTTTGGGGCAGAATATGGTCTCAATAACTGTCATCAGAAATTTCAAAGACAGTTTTTCAGGTTTAGTTGAAAGTAAGTTTGGCTATACTGATTGTTTATAGGCAAGAAATATGTCTTCTTAATCAATTGGAACCAATTCCAGTTGGTTTCTTGAAGAGATGAAATTCCTGGGATATTATTGCTACCCCTAGAAGGAAGATGTGTCTAATGTACATCTTCTCCAATTTTGATAACATTACTGTAAATTACCCTTGTCCTAAAGAGTCAGGGAATGAGTTTATTCTAGCTTTCTACAAATTTTGCATTTTTCTCTCAATGAATAAAGAGCAAAAGTTATCTGAAGTACTCTGTATCTGCAAATTATTTTATAGATGTTATTCTTGGCTTATCAGATTAAACTGCAATCAGAACATCTCCTTTGTAAATGGAGGTTGTCAGCTTTTTACTTCCGACCACAAGTTTATCTCCCCACAGAAGTCATCTGTGGAGGAGATATTTGCCCTGATATAGCCGGGGCTTGAGACCAGGGCCAGGGCATCCTCAAGGGTGTCACCCTTTTCCTGGATGCCTCTTGAGTCTTCCTGCAGCTGCAACAGGTTTTTCCTGTCTGGGATCCTGTTTGACCAACATAAACAAAGAACTGAAAAACAGAATGAAGACTTCTTTAGAGCCAGAGATGAAGAGATTAACTGCTCTGCTAGGGGTCAGGGTTTCAAAACTACTCTTTCTGTATTCTGTCAGGAAAGTGATACTTTTTCATTTTGTATTGTCCACCCTGAAGGCTTCTACTTCCTTCAAGGCACTCCCATAATGTCAGTGGGTCTGGGGCAGGGGTGGGGAGAGGGATGGGGTGACTCTCTGAGTGGGGGGCACTCGGGCAGCCAGGGAATAGCCAACTGCCTCCTTCCCCCGGGAGGACACTCCCACCCCACCCCGCCCAGCGCCAGCCCTGTCGAGCTTTGGCCTCCTGACCCAGACAGAGCCCGCGCGAGGCACCGGGAGGCCGAGCCCGGGTCGCACCGCCCCCAGCCTCGGGGCAGAGAGCCAAGAGTTCGAGGCCTCTCTGATCCGGATATGATGAAAAGGCGCCACAGAGCGAGAAGCGTTTCTGGAGTGCAGGAGTGGTGGAAGGGGGAAAGAGAGGCAGAGGGACAAGAGTTCCCTCGGAGGGGAACCGGCCGGGCTGAGCTGACGGGAAAGAGGGGGCGGAGAGCACGGAGCCAGAGGAGCGGCGGCTGCCGTTGCCGCCACTGAGGTGTCCGCTGAGCGGGACGCAGGCTGGGAGGGCCACCCAGAGGCGGCTGCCGCCGTCCAGCCACCACGACCTGCTGCCCCTGCCGGAGCCTCGCTAACTTTCCGAGGCGGAAGAGGAGGAGGAGGAAAGGGCTTTGAGTGTGTTGGGGGATGCCGAGGTAGGTGGCGGTGCTCTCGGAGGGAGGAGGAGGGGTCTGCTCCCCTCCCCGAGCTGTTCCCAAATCCCATCTCCCTTCTAGCGCCTCCCCCTGAGGGCCCCCCTTCTGTCCGCTAGGACTGGCTGCTGTCAACTTGCTAGGTAACAGTTTTCCTCCCGGGTTTCAAATCAAAACTTCCCCGGGGTGGGGTTTGGGGAAGGGAAGCCGAGAGGGAGGGAATGTCCCGCTGGGGTGGTGTGTGCTCTTCTCTCAAAACATTTTTTTTTTTTTTTTCCCAATCCTCGCCAGAAGCATTCAGTTCCCTGCACCCAACACCTCCCAGCCCCTGGTGCATCGACCCCGAAGGGCGGCGAGCTAGGCGGAGGCGCGGCGCGGGCTCAGCGGAGCGGCCCATGTCCGGCGCAGGGGAAGCCCTGGCTCCCGGGCCCCAGCGCGGGGCTGAGGCTGGCGGTGGCCGGCTGGGCGCCCCAGCCCAGGGTGAGTGCCGCTTGCAAGTTGCAAGCTCCTTTGTCACTGTTGCATTTTAAAATGTGTTCGCACATTTACTGCTTGGAATCTGTGTGTGGGGAATTGGTGCGAAAACTGAGCCTACCTCGTCGTAGAGAACTTTTGCATAGTTAGCATTATTCAAGCAAGTTCTCCAGGATCGCAGCCTCAGATCAACAACCGGATAAGAGGGCGGGATCCGCTGATCTCTCCACTCCCCCTTCCTTTGGCTGCCGAGAAACTGGATGACAGGATCACTTCTTTCTTAAACATATGCATTTCAGGGCCTAAGACCCAACAGTGCGGGCTCCGAAGCCTTCCCCACCACTTAAGTTCTGTGTCTTCAGCAGATCCAGGACTGCCGCTGCTTTTTGAGAAACCTGCACTCTCCCTTCATCTTTCTATTTCTTGTGGGCGCCTCTGCAGCTTTGATAATCCAGGTTTCTGTGACCAATTGCTTTGGAATGGCTCATGCACATGCTTTCAATAACTGTTTTTGTTTTGAAATAAACAGGTTTCAAAAGAAATGCTTTCCAAGAATGAATTAGCTCTTTGTGTTCATCCAAGTTGTGAACAAATACAGTCTGTTAAACTTCCATAAGAAGCTTATACACATGTCAGACAGGATCTTCTCTTGAAGGTAACATACATCAGGTTTTCATTGGTGACAGAGAGAAAGGATCTTAATCTGATGTATCTTCCTCTTAGTGTGACTCTGCTTTAAAGGGTTCTGACTCATATAAACTAAATAATTTTCCAAGGTTCAGAAACCTATTTTTAAATCTTGATTTCAAGCCTGATATCCCCCAGCCCCCCATCCTTAAGAATAATGTCATGAGCCTCTTGGGATTCTTTTTGTTAAAGCACTAAAAAGTGGAAGAGAAGTTAATGTTGAACCCACAGTAGGTAAAAGCAGAAAACATCCATGACTAAATTAAAATGTCCTGGCATTCAAAGGCTGTTAAATTGAATTATGTTTATCGTTGTTTTTTTGCTTCTAAACAGTGAGTCATTTTTTCTAGAGAAAATCAGAAAATCAGAACCAGAATGATAAACACATTTTCCCAGAAGCAGCCCATGTTCGGAACATTATATTGCCAAGGCAATTGTTTTCTTGTCATTAGGCATGTCCTCAGTAGTCATATGGGCTCCTTGATGGGTTGTTCAGGTTCACACTTGAGCTGTTAATCACTGGTGTTAACAAATGCTTATATCAAAAATCAAGCTCACACACACTAGAAAAACAGTTGACTTAGAACTAGTGATATCTGCAATGTCCAACTTTAAAAATATACATTTTAAAGTCAGCAGAAGTTGCAGTGATACCTAATCCACCTGTGCAGATGTAATGCTGTAAGGTACCACATGATATGTTTTTAGGAAGGGAACCTCTAGAATGTTCTGAAGAAAACTGTGGACTGCATGTAACACATTATCAGTGTGGAAACTCTTGGGATATGTTTTACCTGAAAATTGACTCAACCTCAGCAGCAATTTTGTTTGTTTGTTTAGTTTTTTAAATTAGTTTACTTTGACTTGCCGCATCCTTTAAATAGGCATCAATTTAATTGTGAATGTAATATAAAGTTAAGTTTTTTACAAAAGAAAATCTTCAGAATCTTGTTAAAAGGTTGTGTCTCAAACAAGCAGATCTCATAAGGAAAAAAGTTTTGGATCAAGTGGGCAGGGAGCTTGTATGTAGCTGCCATGGTTAGGGTGGTTTTGTTGGTAAAGATGCTAGTGAAGAACCTTCGCCTGCAGGCCACACTTCTCTGAACTCTTTCTCGAGTTCTTTCATCCTTGTCCTTCTATCCTTGGATTCTTGATCATCTTTTCAGAAGAATAATTGAATAATACTCTGGTAAGATATGGCTGCTTAGTTAATAGAAACCTAATTTTAAAACTTTGTGTATTAAAATCAGTGAGAAAAATGGAATGTTCTATGAAAGTTAGTAGAAAATGTCTTTTCATGAAGGAGAAGGATAAAATCAAGTCTTTCCCTGCAAACAAAATTAAATTTATATGTATGTTAATATGCATATGCATATATGTGTGTTAATATGCATATGCATATATATGTGTGTGTATGTAAAGACATATAACCTGTACATGTATTACTGTGTTGTGATGAGCTATGTGTACTAACTAACTGAAGGCATAAAAAGTTAAAATTGAAAGTAAATTTGGGGGGTCTCTAGTCTGAACTCCCCATCTAGTCTAGGATTTCTTTCTACATTTTTTCAGGTGGTTAAATGCCTACAGTGGAGCACATTCTGCTTATCAGCATTCATATTGATAGTTATGAAAGTTTTTCATGTTGAGAGCAAGACTGCTCTCTTTACAACTTCTCCCCTTTGGCTGTGATTCTTCTCCAAGCACAATTCTGTTGCTCTGAAAGCATTAAAAATCTTATTTGTGCATTTTGAAAATTGTCACGGACCAGGATATAAGCTCATATGCCCCATGCTGTCAGAAGGACCCGGGATGGGGGTGGGAAGATAGGGAGCAGTAGGGACTGAGGACCCCTGGAGAGCTCTGGGCCCAGGAGGCAGTGCTTCTTGGTCCAGCTCACTGTTGCCACTTGGGTTTAATATCTTCCAGTATTTCAAGAGATACTGGAAATATGGATTTTTATGTATCATCACTCCCTTTTAAAAGTTGGCAGCTAATTAAATCCAATTTTTATCCAGGCCAAACAAAACAACCACACCTGCAGGCTGGAAATGGCTCCAAAGCAGCTGATTTGTGATTTCTGTTATAGAAACTAGAGAGTAAATGTGTGATTTAAAAACTATTTCCCTGTTTATGGTGAACTTCTGAAAGACTGACTTGATTGTCCTTCTCACACAGAATACCTGTATAAGTGTCTGATAAGTGAATGGTAGTTTGGGCCAAACTTCTTTTTGTTTTAAAAGAGAATGGATCTTGTATGTATGGTTCATCTAATTGTCATTTTTTCTTTTTTGGGTCAAGCATCTTAAAATTCATTGTGCTATCAACCTTGGTAGGCGTTTGCTTTTTTGTACAGTTACTAGAATCTATACGATTAAAAGAGCCTTTTAATTAAATGCTTCCATGTTTGCTACTTGTAACTAGAAGGATCTTTAGAAATAGCTTAGTTCAGTTGGCTCACTTTCTAGAAGGGATGTCCAAAGAGCTTAAGTGACTTGTCCAGGGTCTCATACATAGTCAGTAGAATCCAGGATGGAGGCACAAATTGTAAAATATATGTCATTGTGATAAATGTGGATTAAGGTAGAGAATCAATATAACTTTTTTCCTATAGATGGGTGAATTGAAAATAATCAGCTTTGGATACTGTGAATCACTTTGCCTGTTCTGGTCCTTGCATCCCCCTCCCTCCCCCATTGCATTTGTCAAGATTTAGACTGTTGGACTGTGTGCTGGAATATTCTTTAATGTGATAATGTGTGATTTAATGCACTCTTCTCTCTTGGGAGAGTCCTCTGAGACTATTAGGCGGACTTTTCATAGCAGGATGCAAAATGCCAGTAAAGTTAATTAAAAATAATTTAAAATAGAAGCTAGGGAGAAAATCTTCAAGTTGAAATTACATAAGAAGAGCTTTGACTTAGAAGCTTAGCTGACTTGTCAGGAATTTATAGTGGCTAATCAGATTTCCTTTATGGGAAGCCTGTTTATTTCAATTTATACCACGTATGCTCGTAATATCCATATTCTTTGACGTTTACCATATCATTTTATCCTTTAAGAATGGCATTTCTCAGAGTGTGTCATCTTTGGGCAACTTCTGTCTCTGGTCCTCAATCAGGGATGAAGTGCCTTGCAGGAAACATTTGGCATCTTCTGGAAACATGTTTGGTGGGGTGGGGTGGATGCTCCTGGGATACAGTGGGTAGAGGCCAGGGAGAACACTATACACATCTTACAATGCACACAGTATGGTAGCCCCTCACAACAAAGAATTATCTGGCTTGGAATAACGACAGTGTTGAGATGCTATTTTAGCCTCTCAAGGCTACTGACACCTTTGGCTCCTCTCTAGACTTACAGAATCAGAATCTGGAGAGTAAGACTCAAGAATCTCCCTTTTTGACAATCTCCAGGTGCTCTTTATCTTTAGTTGAGAATCATTGTTTTTAGAGGCTTTTGATTTTTAAAAAGTCTTTTTGTTTCTTATAGAAAGCCTTAAAAAAATCTTGAGAAACATCTCCCTTTCAAGTTCCAAACTTTAAATCATATCACTCCATGTGTACTGTCTCTTAGAGTTTGCCAGCATTTTTATCCCATATCCCAATTAGTGATCTGAACTGAGGCCTGAGTCTTCATCCTCAAAAAAGTTTCCTGTCAAGATTATGTATACAATTGTACAAATATATGTGAATATTAAAAAAGAAATATATAAACACACTTTGAAAAGAATGAGATAAAAATAAGTCAATAAATAGATCTTTTAATTCTTTGTTCTACCACCTCAGTAGATATTTTTGTCCCGTCATCCTGGACTTCTCTCTAGGGATCTCAGCATTTTTATGGCATAATAAGGAAAGAAGTCCCTAATTTTCACATGATCTGTATTCACTTGTAAGTTGGATTTTTGAAATCTGGATTATCCTTTCTCATAGAAACAGAATGATAAATTATGTTTAGCTCAATAATCTCAAAAAGATGGTTGAGACTTTTACTAAATATTATTGATAAATTATAGGGAACACACTCTTAATGATACTGGCAACCACATACAGGTAATTAAGAAAAAGGTGAGTGAAACATTTTCAGTACAGTTGCTTGAGAGAATAGGCTTAACTGGAAAACTATAACAAACTTTGTCTAGATTTGGAAGAGGATTTGGGGGCATTTCAAGCGGTGTAGACCTTATGCTCCAAATCCTTTTTCGCTTAAAGGAACTAATGTTCATTTTGTAAGTTTAGAGAAATGCAAGCCTTATCAGCTTGACATAGTCATGTTCCCTCTGCTAAGAAAAAGAATCAAATGCATAAGAGGCGGAG